TACACTTCTAGTGAATTCATAGTGTTTGGGGTTTTTAATAATTTTAGTGAAATATTATTTATTTTATGTATTTATACATTTAAAATGCATATATATATATGTGAAAAATCTGTGAGGAACTTTTTACAAAAAATAATTTTAATATGCCAACAAAAAATTGTGATATACTATAGAAAAGTAAAATCCAATAAAATTTTCTGAAATAAATTCTAAGGAAAATTTACAAATCGTAGACAGCCAAAGTACTGATAAAAGCACCAAGTTGACATTTTGAGACATAGAAGCCTAAATCATTGTTTTGTTTTGACATTTTGATGCAAAAAGTAGAATTTTTTGTGTGACATTTCCAAAGCAATTTGGGATTTTTTTGGTAACTGTCCTGCAGAAATATTTTATGATTCAAGAAGTAAATGTCAAACTTTCAGAATTCCCTTGTAACATGAATTCCATTGGCTGATCAGCTCTTGTTCATGCCCTTTGAGGAACTGCTGAGCCTATCAACATAATAGAAATCTTTATTTCCACACAAGAAGTTTCAGTTCAAATTTGAATTCTAGCAGTCTCTCATAATTATCCTTTTTTGGCAAATTCTGTTGAGAAAGAGTGGGTGTAATATTTTGTCACTTCGAGATTTTTTTTGAGGTAACAGCAAATCAGAGCAGAAAAGCATAAAAATCATATTTGAAGAGGATTTTAGGAAATTATTTCATTAGCTGAAACTGGAAGCAATTTTCTTTATTTAGTCAAACACTATACTGCCCCCACCTAGACACAAGGTAAATAAATCATCACAAAAGGATTTTTTCTTTGTCTCAGCAAAGCAGCATTCATTTCTAGCTAGTGGGTAGGTGTCCCAGATGTGAAAGATGTATAAGGCTCTCTTGTTGCTAAATGCCAAAGCTGAAGCACTGGTTTCCTAGAACTGCACATAGGTCATATTAAACAGCTATAAACAACAGAAAAGCATCACATTTTTGCAGAAAAGATGGGTTTTCCATTTGTAAATCTTCCTATGTAGAGTTGGGTAATAAAGCAATCTATACCTTTAGGTATGTGAAGAGAGTAGAACACACTGCTTAATACTGGGAACTCCCAGGACTGGTGAAGGAGTTAAAATTTGGTTCTAGTAATAACAAGGGCCTATGTGAAACTGGACCCTGAATCCTCAGCCATTAGCAGTTGCTAACCTGAGAAGGAATTTGATTGTCTAAACTGAATCACTCTGACACAGATTTCTGGGTTTCATTAATTTCTTCTGTACAGTCACCTAAATTCACATAAATGAATGGAAAAAATACATTAAAAAATCTTTGTATGAATGTTTACCTATCAAAGAGAAACAAAAAAAAAGCTATTATTTCCAGTTTTATTTTCAGATATTCTCACCGGAGTTTGATTTTTTTTTTGCATCTAGATCCACAATATGTTTATTAAAAGAAAAAAAG